TCAATAATCAATAGATGATGAATAAATAATCAATCTTTCAATAATCATTAGACGATTGAAGGGATTAATCAGAATAATCTTGTACAGGTTTATTCATATCCTTTAACAGCAGAGAGAACTAAAAATTGTGCCTCCAAAGATCTGACAAATTGTGATGGAACTTCAGTGACCAATGGAGACCAATAGGACAGTAGATTACTCAGCATTTTTCTACCTCAAGGCCAAAGGAAGAAGGCAAGTGAGATTTACATGAAGCTAGTTTATAAGGGAAAAGAGGACAGAATGATGACTCTGCTATTTGTGAATGAGTCCCATAGTGCTGTAGATACCCTTATTAATCTGATAGGGATGGCAAGAACTATTACAGTTAACCCCATATTCAGCAATTAGGGCCAGATTTTTTTTTTTATTGTAACTCACCTTGCCTAAATTTAAACATTTCTGAAAAGTTCCTCCCTAATATCCCAAGTAATGTCATGCTTCAAATGACATTGAGGAGAGTATATTTCAAATCTTTTGGCATTTTGTTGCATAAACATCTTGATTTATGTTTATGCAAACGAATAAAACAAAATACAAAGAGAAGAAGAATGGCATGTTTGTGTATGGGAAGGCACACCGGCTGAAAAAGCAACATGACTTTTAAAAAGTTGGGAACAAAACCCTTTCAATTAGGAACTGTTTGCTCAGATTTAACCTTCATTTTTCAGCTGTTTTTGCTATGGCCTAATAAGTTATCTTAACGTTTAACTTATGCTATGTAGTCTGTCATATTTTATTTAAAATAAATGTTTCAAAACTTTTTGTCCTCTGTAAATTTATACACTGACATGTATTTTAGTGTTCCCAAACTTTATTTCTTTTATTTCATTTGTTCCTTTTTCTTACCCCCTTATTTTTTCTATAGCTTTTCCTTATTACAGATATGTTTGCACCTAAAAACAAATTAAAAAGGAAATGCAGTATGATGGATCATGCTTAAGTTGAGAGTTTATCTCAAGAATAATAGGAAGAATAATTTTTTGCTGTCACTCTCACATTGTGGAATCTTCTCCGCACCAGAGAGGAGGTGGGTCTCATCACTCCTGATCTTCTGAAGGTCTTTTAGGACCTGCTCATGCCAGCAGGCCTGGGAACCCCAGGGGACAGGTGAATCTGTGAAACAACTCCATTATTATTCACATCCTTCTGTCTACTAAGTCCTGTTTAGTTCTGCTTTTATAGTGTTTAATGTTTCTTATTAATTTATAATGATAGTTGGTGACAATTGTTTTATATTTATTCTTTTATTGGATGGTTGTATGCTGCCCAGAGTCACTTTCTATGAGATGGGCAGCCTTGTAAATTTGATTAATAAATAAAATAAATGAACTTTTACAAAACTCAATGCTGGCATCTTATTTATGATAGAGGTGCCTGGAGGCTACTTCCTCTGTTATCATTTCTGTTCATAGCATATATACATCCCCAGGCTAAACCCAAGCAAGATGGAAGTCTTGTTTGTACATTGAGACTTTGTACATCAACACTGATGTTATCTCTAGATAGGGAAGCAATACCTCAAGAACAGGTTCACATCCTTCTGGACTCCCAGCTTCCACTCAAGAAATAGGCCCAAGCTGTGGCTTGAATGATCTTTGTCCAGCTCTGGCTGATGCTCCAATGGCAACCTTACTTGGGGCAAGAGGATCTGGTTACACTAACTCTCACTTCCAAAACCACTGGGTTAGACTAGCGCAGTGGTTCCCAACCTTTTTTTCGCCCCGCACCCCTAAAGAAATTTCACTTGAACCTCGCACCTCCTGAAATTTAGAATTTAGGAATTACTGAACGCGTTAAATACATGGTAGGATTGAATCTTTTCAGCTATGTATGTGACGGCCACTAAATAACGATACTTAACTCTAAAATGAAAACAAAGTTAATCCATTGCAAAAGAAAATAAAAATGCTAACATATAGCCAATATCCTATTATTTACCTGGACTTTTCTCGCACCCCCTTGGAATATCGTCTCGCACCCCAGGTTGGGAACCCCTGGACTAGTGCAATCCACTGTACACAGGGCTGCCTTTAAAGGCTACTTGGAAACTAGTTTATCTAGAATGCAGCAGCTTCCTTGCTAATGATGGGAGCGTATTACTCGTGCTACAGGCCTTGCAATGGCTACCATGTGGTTTCTGGATATGATTTAAAGTGCTGATTTTAACCTAAAAAGCAGAAATGTTTTATGAAAGACAGAGGAACAACTACAACGAAAGCACTCAAACTTGCATTTACTTGAACTTGAGTACCCAATGCTGTTTTTGAGGTACTGTCACCATTCTATGACTGATTAGATGATGGTGGGCAGTGTCAACCCTACAGGGATAGGAATGCTTAAAAGATGTTGTTTCCTTTGTCGTTCACAAGGTTTTTTTGACACAGCCCATCACCGAAGGTTGCTAAAGCAAGCATTCGTGGTAAAGGGGGAGGGGTGCCTTTTCTTAATCTATCATCAGTTACAGGATTTAAAAAAAAGAGTGCTTGGAAATAAATAGTCAGAGGGAACCAAAAAACTGATTCAGGGAACTCACTAATGACAAAAAGGGTTTTATTTATAACCGAGACAAAAGTCAAGTAAGGAACCACTGTCAGCTGATAGCGTTGTATACATTTATGGGTTAAGTTTTACTTCCGCTTACGTGCTTCTACCGTAGCTTTACATGCTCGAACCCAGAACCTTCCCTAAGCTAAAGATCTGGCGAACCAAAGGCAATTTGCACCCCGAGTTGCATGCGGGATTTCGACGGACCTCAGATTCGTTCCCGCCGGGACGGAAAGTTTGAACCGGCCGCGCTTCTTGCGAAACGGCGCCACTGCAGATGGCGCTCCAACACCGCTCTGGGGAAGGGGGGCGAGGCTGCGTCCTGGCGCCACGGGAGGCTGACGCAGGCCCGGGATAGGGGCGGAGCGCTTCGAGCGGCGTTTACAGCCGTCGCCGCCACTTGGTTGGAGGGGTCTCTGACCGGAGTTTTGCCGGCGAGTTTCTTCTTTCGCCGGCCCTCCTCCGACCCCCTTCCAGCGCCATGTACCGGGCCCTGTACGGCTTCCGGTCGGCCGAGCCGAACTCTTTGGCCTTCGCCGTTGGCGAGACCTTCCTGCTGCTGGAGCGGAGCAACCAGCACTGGTGGCTGGTGACCCGGGCGGGCTCCGGGGAGACGGGCTACGTGCCGGCCTCTTACCTGCAGCGCCTACAGGTCAGGCAGCGGGCAAAGGACGGGCGAGGGCAGCGGCGGGGTCGGTAGCCACCGGCGTGGCCGAGACAGCTTTGGAGGTTTCTGCTGCTTTTCTGGCGGTGGCAACGCGCGCGCCTCTCAGAAGCGCAGGGTTAAGTGCCCGCAGGTCCGAGGCCCAGGCTCGGTGCCGGTGGTGCGCCGTGGTGGGACCTGCCTGAAAATCAGCCAGGCTAAAGGGTTTGCTTCGGGTTTTTTTTTTAATTAAAAAAAAAATCCTGTTCGGAACAGAATGGTTCTGTGTATGGAAAACGGAACTAAGCCTGGCCATCAGTCATCATTGCACATTTCCATATCCATGTAAGGTACGGTTAGGCAGTGGCATAGGTAGGTACTGTATTGATGTGGCTGACACTGATGATAATCAGTGGGAAGATCTTGTGGAACTTTTTCACGTAGGTGCGAGAAATACAAGGAATGTAGGCACTTGCTATCTTACAGGTGCAACTTCCCAAAAGTCAGGCATGCTAAAATAGAAAATGGTTCACCTCCATGTGAAGCCACACAATGGGTGCACTGTTTGGAAGTGTCTGGACAGGAGCAGGCCTTTTTCAGGGGTGATAAATTACTTGTATTATTATCTATTTGCACTCGATGGAGGCTCAAGTAACAAGGAGGCGCAAAGGTGATTTTGAGAGGGAGAGAGACTGTTTTATATTCCATTTCCTCGGGAAGGAAATTCTGCACTGATTCTTTCCTACTGTTGCTCTGTTACAGATTTTCTGAAGTTCTATTGTTCTTGGGATGCGCTTTTCCCATCTATGTTTTCCTGGAACAATGAGCTTCTGTGTGGGTTAAGCAAACAGTTTCAACTGTAATAAATATTCCGTAGAGGATATTGGCACAATCTTATTTTGATAACTGCATTGGTATACAAAAGAAGTAGAGGGAGATGGGAACATCTCTAGTCTTTTCTACAAACTGTAATGAGAGGTAAAACGATGAAATTTTTGTGATAGTGCTGGGCATATAAGGAAGAAAAAGTGAATGTAACAGAGAACATATTGATTTTGACTTTGTGCCGTCAAGTTATTTTTGACTGCTAGCGACTGCCTAAATAGATTTCCTCCACAATGATCTATCCCTAACCTGGTATTTCAGGTCTCCTAATTATGCACTGATTGCTATTGTGAGGCCATCCATATTTTTGCTGATCTTCCTTCTCTTTCCTTCTGCCTTATTCAGCTTTAGAGAATCAGGTCATTGTATAATGTGTCCAAAACAGGATAATTTAAGCCTGATTATTTGTGCCTGCCTCAGGTGAGAAATTTGGATTGATTTTTTTCAATGATCCATTTGTTTTCTTGCCTGTCCATAGTATTCTCCAGCACCATGATTGGAACATTCTTCCAATCCTGCATTTTTAAAGTCTAACTTTTAGTCTGGTAGAGTGTTACAGGGAATACTGTATCTTGCATGATTCTGATTTTTGTAGGTATAGACACGTATTTGGCATTTGAGTATCTTTTCCAAGGCCTTCATGATTGCTGTTCCAAGTGCTAGTCTGCAGTTGTTCTTGACTGCTTGTTCCTTTACGATTGATCCTAAAAGGCAGAAGTTATCCACTACTTTGATATCTTCATTGTCAGTTCTAAGGTTGTGTTTTCTGCCTGTTGTCATTATTTATATTTAATTTAATCCCATGTTTTCACTGTATTCTTTGACTTTTAGAACATTGAATAAAAAAGGAGGGAGCATGTAATGATGTCTAATTTGTTCACCACTCTGGAGCCAATCTTTTTTGCCATGTTCCGGCCACACTGTGGCTTCCTGACCTGAGGACAATAAGATCTTTGGGGATTCTCATTTTTCTGAGCACTTTCCGCAGCTTGAAGTGATTGATATAATTAAAGGCTTTTCTATAATCAATGAAGCACACACTGTTGGATGTTTTTTTTTGGGGGTGGGGGGGTATTCTTTGGCTTTCTCAGTTATCCGGCATATATCAACAGTGTTCCTCTGCCTTTTCTAAAGCCAGCTTGTATATCTGGCATCCCTTTTTCCATGTAGAAATCTAATTTTCAGTGGATGATCCTAAGCATTATTTTGCTGGCATGTGAAATTAAGGATATTAAGGTCTTACTCCAACATTTCATTGCAGAAGGGGAATCAAAGCTATATTAATTTTAATGTTATTAAGTAGAACTTACATATGGTTGAAACAAAACCAAATATTATTTGTTTAGTCTACATACTACCAAAATGTCTTGGTGAACTACAAAAACATGAATGATGGCAAGACTTCTCATTTACTCCTGATATATTCAAACATTTAAAGCTTGTAATGGTTTCCCATCACCAATATCCAACATGTTATAACTCCACTGTAAATCTTACAAACCTATTGGCCATGGGGAGAATCCATGTAGAACACTGAAGCCGAACGGTATATTGTCACGTGTAAAATGGTAGTGGTGGTGGAATTTGTGAGTTGAGAGATAAGAGAAGGGTCTATCTTGCAATTATTCTCAGATATTATCTTGATTGATAGCCCCTACAAAGGGAGAACTTGAATGTTGTCTTCAGTATTTTATTATGTTTCTGAAAGTACATGCTTGTACATGCCTGTATATGTGTGTCTATTTGTACCAATAATTTGGCATTTTGCTGGGGAAGATTTTTGAAGCAGCCATTTTGCATCTGTGGAAAGAGTGCAAGATAATAAATGCATGGGAGAGCCGCTTTGGCTGTAGCAAGTCTATTTCTCCGATGTAAAATATAATAGAAAGAGGCTAATAACAGGCCTGCTCAACTGCTGATGAGGGGGCCAGTCGGCTACGCATGAACAAATGTTGTAGCAATAGTGGCAGTAATTATAGCCAAGTCAGACAAGTTTGCAATTATGGAAAGTGAAAGAACAGATTGCTTCAGCCCAAATAGGAATCAGAGTGATGAGTGATAACACCCTTTTTGCTAATGTGAGGGTGTATTTAGTAAAGAAGTCCTAAGGAGAGCATAAACATGAAAATGAGCATTTTCTTTGCATCAGGCGCCCTTTGGGCTAAAGTGTTTTTGTCCTGTTGCTGGAAATTACATGTGGTTCTTCTGGGTTTGAGGGGTCTTAATGGAAGAGCACAGTTTGCCTTTATGCAAGTGGTCCTCCTTCCCCACCAATAAGTGGCAGTTTTGGTGTGAAGCGACACCAGGACCAACTCTTCTCTCTGCTCTAGTGCTGATCCAGTTCACTGCCTCCCACATAACAGATGTTTGAGAAAGGAAAATCATTCATGCATGGGCAAACTACATGACGAGCATCACTGTCAGTTTAGCCTTAAGTTATGTAAACAACTGTTCTTGTTTTGGGATTCATGTAAATGAATGTGAATGAGAAGAGAAAGCAAGGTAGGATTGTGCATTATGTCCCTCAGTATTCTCTGATTTTTAAGAGCCCTCACTCAATAGTAGAGTATTAGTTTGACAATTGAAGAGCAAAGAGAGCTATGCACTGTCCTGCTAGTTAAATTGTACAATAGAGCATCTACATATTTTGCCTAGAAAAAAAGTGTGACATACATATTTGCTTGTGTTCTGAAAGAAAAAATAGTCTTTGCCCCCAATTCCTTTTATTTATTTATTTTATTTTTTATTTGGTTATTCCTTGAGCCCTTCTAAATTTATTGCTGAGGCCAATATTAGTTTAATTTCTTAGTCTATGCGTACTCCATTTTGGATGACAAATGGCAGCTTTTCCTCAGAAAAAAATATTCCTAAAAGTTGGAAATTTTTTTTGCTCTGTTGTTTTCAAGTTTTCAATTCTAGAGCTTTGCTTCAGGTATATTCTTAGTATTTTCCCATCCCCATTTTAATACCATCTGCCATAGTTGACAGTTATTGAATATGATGGATGTACCATCGCCAAACCTATGCATATCTTTGGAATTTATTTATATTTAGTTCCAAATATATTTTATAACAAGTGCTGGATTTAACCACCTATTGACCAACTTGTAAAGTTGGGCTTAGGTATCTTGCCCAGCTACTTCATTTAAATATTGTAAATAGTAATGCATCACATTTAAGAATACTTTTGGTCTAAGCCATACAATTAGATGTCTAGAAGGCAGCTATGACCACAGGCAGTTTAACCAGCCTTAGAATTACATCTTGCTCAATATACTTCAGTCTGGTTATGATTGCATATACATTAGATATATAATTATTGAGTTGTATATTATCGTGTCCAATTTAAAACTTCAATTGCCACAATATGCTTCAGCTATTATTAGATTCCCCTTTTATACTTTTAATTACACTGCATGTCATTCATTTTGGGTGTAATTCAAGACCTAAAGATAATGCTTAGTTTGTCTCGCTCTGTATAAATCTGAGTGCTCCTCAAGATTTGCTGATAACATTTCAAGATTTTCAAAATGGTAATTGATGGAAATGTAGTAGAATACTTCTTTTGTAGTTGTGTATACTCAATATAAACATTCCTGTCACTGCAACTTGATGTAAGGAGTTCAGAGATGGTCATGATGAAAATACAGGTGAAACTCGAAAAATTAGAATATCGTGCAAAAGTTCATTTATTTCAGTAATGCAACTTAAAAGGTGAAACTAATATATGAGATAGACTCATTACATGCAAAGCAAGATAGTTCAAGCCATGATTTGTCATAATTGAGATGATTATGGCTTACAGCTCATGAAAACCCCAAATCCACAATCTCAGAAAATTAGAATATTACATGCAATCAATAAAACAAGGATTGTACCTAGAACAATATCGGACCTCTGAAAAGTATAAGCATGCATATGTACTCAGTACTTGGTTTGGGCCCCTTTTGCAGCAATTACTGCCTCAATGCGGCGTGGCACGGAAGCTATCAGCCTGTGGCACTGCTAAGGTGTTATGGAAGACCAGGATGCTTCAATAGCGGCCTTCAGCTCTTCTGCATTGTTCGGTCTCATGTCTCTCATCTTTCTCTTGGCAATGTCCCATAGATTCTCTATGGGGTACA